TTAAGGAAGTTGGATGTAATGTGATTCAGGCACATGGAGATGCAGATGTTGACATCGCAAAGACTGCAGTAGACAGTGCAAAGACCCATTCCACCACACTGATCGGAGGGGACACTGATTTATTGATTCTTCTGCTGCATTACTGCATGGCAGATGGGAAATCACTATTTCAGATAAGACAATTCTTCAAAATTAAATCTGAAAGTGTACAACATCAACTGGATAAAGCAACTTCTTGGCAATAAGCTGTGTACCCAACTGTTATTTCTGCACTCATTTACAGGCTGTGATTCCACGTCCCGGGTTTATGGCATTGGGAAGAAATCAGTGTCCCAGAAACTTGTCAAAGGTGATCAAGTCCTCCAGCTATGTGCAGATACTTTCACTGCAAAAGACGTCGAACAAGCAGAGATCGAGGAAATCGGTCGCCAATCCATGGTGATCCTATTTGGTGGAGAGAGAACATGTTCCCTGACTGCATTGCGTTACAGTGTATTCGCAAAGAAGGTTGTGGCTGCTAAATCTTTTGTTACACCTGAACGCCTTCCCCCAACGGAATCAGCCACTAAGTTTCACTGTCTGCGTGCCTCATGGTTTGGATGGACGTGCAAACCTTGATCCATTGCAATGAGGTTGGAAACTTGAAGACAACCACTTTGTTCCCATCATGACATCACTAAATGCTGCTCCAGACAGTCTTATCAAGATCATACATTGTAACTGCACAACGCACAACCAGTTGCAGTTCCACACGCTGCAGTTGCAGGAAAAATGGACTTCAATGCGCGCTGCCTGTGGACTGTGAGAAGTGACATGTTGTGACAATCCATTCAATGAACCCTCAAAAGTGAGTGAGTGAGTTAAAATTTAAAGTCACATCGGCAATATTTCAGCCATATTGTAACTCAAACTAGTTCTAAATTCATAATATATACATTTAATATATAAAATTCTTTCAACGAAGGCCAGTAAAATTACTAGATTATCACAAAATTAGTTAAAACTAGCTAGCATATATCTTTAAAACTAGAAACCTTTTTTTGGACAATACAATGTAACAATGGGCTAATAATCGCAAACAACTGAAGGTAGATCACCATACTAGGAACCATGGGGACCCAAGCTGGATTTACACTATCCCTTCAGCCATTTGCGTTTATGCTGAGATTTAAGCCATAGATTAAAATGACAAAAATACTACGATGAAAACATATGTTATATTTTGGATTACACTTTCTTAGTAAAGTACAGATTCTAGTACTTTTTTGGTTGATTCCCATCCGGGATTCGAACCCGCACCCTCAGAGTCAGGTACCTAATCGCCAGCACATAAAGTCGGCTGCTTCCACAGCCTGTAAATGAGTGCAGAAATAACAGTTGGGTGCACAGTTTATTGCAAAGAAGTTGCAAAGTTGCAAAGAGTGCCTATTGCTCCAAGTAGATTCATGAACATGTGGAAAGTACCTAGCCTAAGAATGATACTCTTCAAAGGGCTATTCCCTGGTTCAGCTTGGATGACCTCGGATGCTTTCCAATACAAGGGCTGGTCGAATGTTACCACTGGAAAGATATTGTGTCCGAAGGATAGGCTGGTCAGGTATTCCAACGTTGCTTTTGAGAGTTATTTGTTCAACAAAATCCAAATTTAATAGCAAGATCTTAAATTCATTCAATTGAATTTTATTAAGCAAAGCACTTAAATATTTTATGCTCATTCAATACTATAAATCTGAAATATATAAATAGGATTTCTTGATATTTTATTAGATAAAACATTAAAATGTTATTATGCAGGGCACTTAAATGTTTTATGTTTATGGAAATGATGTCAATCAATATCAAAACGAATTGTTTAAAATGGTTAACATATAACTTTATAGGAAATTATGATATAAAAAGTAGGAACTATTTAAATAAAAATATTCTAAAAATCAACTGGGTATTTAAGAATGTATGACAAGTCATTAAAATATAGTTTTTGATATAGGGCAAACTCCATGCAGAGAAGGTAAAACACACTGCAGAGGGGCTTGGCTCTAAGCAGAGGGGCTTGGTGTGTTGTAAATTTTGCTGCACTTTTCTTTGAAATTAAGCATTATATTGCAATTTCCTCAATGACAATTGTTGTGAATCTTGTTTGCTTGATATTAACAACTATTGTCATATGTTTTATTAAGGATTACTCATTATTCGATGTAGATATGCTTCTGATGGTCATATTGACATCATAGCAGACAACACATTCAGTGAGGTGGATTTACTTATACATATAATATCATACAACATTCTTTTGGTCGTTTAAGCTGATGTATATTCTAACTCAACAAAATTCATATCTCAATAATTACCATTTCTATAAAATTGACATCATGAGCTGGAAGAAGACTTCGTGTGAATATGCTGGGAAATGTGTTGTTTCCAGTGTAAACAAGCAGTGGATACTACACACCTAACAACTTGTTCTTCATCTGTATCGCTTGCTGTTGGCTGCTGCTTGATACCATGTTATAGAAATGACCGATTTTAACACCTTTCGCACAGTGAGATTTTGGTAGACGTTTTGTCTGTTGATAACCATACCCAGTAGAAGTGAAAACCACTGAGAAACCTTTTGCTAGAATTGTTCAAGGGTAGTGTGGTGTAATGCATATATTCCCCTGTCTAATTCTTTCACATTGGACTAAGGTTACCTTAGTGCCTTACGATCACCTTAGTGGTTTGTGAAAAGAGGCCCAGACCCAGAGACCGGTACGTCCACCAACCTGAAAGAAAACCGCTGGTGGTGTGTAAAGCGGCAGTCGGCGACGATTTGGCGGAGTTGCGTTGTAAGCAATCAACCAGTCTATGTGAAGTTGTTGGAGGCCATTAGAGTACAGTACCCGTTTCAGTGGTGAGTATAGGTAGTCATGCTATTAGTAGCATGTATTTTTTACGTTATGGAGCTTTACTTTTGCTTATCTCACAAACTTCACACTCCGTCCTCTGTCGTGCATTCACAGGTTCGATCCTCATATTGTTCAAAATTTTAGGAAGGTATTTCATTAGTTCTTTATTGTCGAGATTACTTACCCTTTAATTTTTATTATTCACTACAAGACAAGTGTACATTTGGACATTTCAAGCGGGGGGTTACCGGCGGAACTGTTACCTGTTCTATGCCAACGGTATCTGCTGATTCATATGAAAGTTCCTCTTGAAGAAATTGTCTAACTTCTGTTTCTTCCCGACATTCACCTCTTTTTGCTGTCTGGGCGGTGGGGTATCCTAGCGCCTTAATCGTTTGCTCGTCACACAGATGACCCGGGTTCGATTCCCAACATGGTTACAATGTGTGAAGCCCATTTCTGGTGCCCCCCGTCGTGATACTGCTGGGATAGTGTTAAAAGCGGCGTAAAACTAAACTCACTCAGTCACTCAGTATAGCGAGTCTCAGGCAGAAACCTATACCAACCGGTGTCTCTATAACGGGGTTTCTCAAGGTGCCCCGTCTCACCCGGGGAGAAAATGTTCAAACTCTCGCTCTCCATGTTTCAATAGATATATTCATGGTGCTTCCACGGAAGTACACTAACTTATACACACGGGCGATGTCGTGCGTGCCACCATGATTGAAACCACGTGACAGACCAATGTTTGTTAAAGCTTAGATGCAACCAACAAAATAAACATAATTAAATCACAATTATCATTTATTCATGACATCTAATATACAATCATACATCTAACATTGCGGGTGGGCGTGCACTTAAGTGTAACGAAGGCTTTCACTGGCTGGTTCATTTACCGATTCGCTCAGTACTCTTTGTGTGTGTATAGGCATCCCGGTTCAAGCCATGCGAACCTATTCACTGCGCATGTGCCATATGCGCAGCGCAGCACAGCTGTTGAAACCACATTTCACCCCAGCTGGGTTTTTTTAGTGAATCGTTTGAACTGCGATGTCGCGGGATTTTTTTCATCACGTTCAACTTTATAATTTGAATTTGCATTTTGATAATTTGTTACTGTAAGTCCATACCGAAAGGTATCAGAATCTGCAAATTTGTGTTTTGCTTTGCATGTAAGCTTTAACTCCATTAAGTGGTAAGTAGTAATGTTTAAGTCGCCAGAGGGCCATTTGGGTTGATCCGGTTGATCCGATAATGTATGCACGAGATTGCATGAATATTTTAATGTAAGCAGGACTTCACAGGTCAGGAAAGGTCAATGAAAGGTGGGTGTTTAAATGCGTTCATGCAGTCTTGTAGAAAACCCTTTATAAGACGTGAAAAACAAAAGCAAAGTGTAATGAATAGAGCTATGTATAGCGTGCTGCCCTGAATAGACAGACAGTACCTGTTAGCCCAGTTTGAATTGAGCGCGCTTGACAACTCACGTGACCCCGTCGTTTCAAATAGCCCGCGTTCGCTAGAGCGTGTGACCTGTTTTGATGAATACAGTGTGTGTGTTGAAAGTACATCATACCACAATAGACACGGGTTGTATCAACATGGTTATGGAGTCGGAATGTCCATGTCATGTAAATGAAGTATAAAAAATTCATGCAGAACGTGCCCTGACCCGTCTTGGACAGTTCTACCCAATGTTTAAATGTTATCGATATATGTCATGCTATCTTTTCCGTTCAAAATATATATTTTGTATATAATCTAACATGATGTATACAGGTTTAGTTTTACTTCAGGACTGTATTCAGAGCGTGATATTTTAAAAATAAATGGTTCGAAATACACATGGATAGAAACATATCTATGCATATACCATTTAGAAAACTGATTAGTCATATAACAGTGTGACAGCATACAGCTAGGTTTGATGGGAAAGAGACAGAAGCAAGAGAAATGTAGACGCAAGGAATCTATTTCTTGAAACACCTGAACTGATTATAAAGCTGAATGCATCCGGATATCAAATAGCCCGCGCTCGCCAGGGCTTCACACATTGTACCCGTGAAATCGAACCAGGGTTTTCGGCGTGACTTAACCACTAGGCTTCCCCATCGCCCCCACAAAACACATACAGAAGAAGTAAGTCATTTATTCACCTGAACAAGTCAGAACAAGACTTAATTCATGCCACTGATGCTTCTAATTTGGGCAAAGGGGATCTCTATGATAATAAGCTGCGTCCATGGGTTGATGCAGTTCATTGTTGTTTTTTAAGGCGTAATGATAAACCAATCACTGACTTGTAGCTCTTCATTAAGTAATAGGCAAGAAGTAACTGAAAAGGGCTTTTCGTGGCCTTAGTTGCCCAGTTTAACAAGAATCACCATTGCATCTCCGTACTCGAAATCTGAAAAGAAGTAAAAATGGTTGTTAACGGTGTATATTTTGAGAAAAAACAACATGATTATACACCAGTGCACCCAACTGAATGGCCAAAAGGCTCGCGCCATTGCGGTTTTTTGGAGGAGTTAAAGGTTGGCTTTTAGCCAAAGGATATTTTTTTCGATCATATCTCAATGGACGTCATATGATTAAAATAAATTCCGAATTAAAAAGATTAGGAACTTCTTTGTGCCTTTCCTTTTATTTTCGAATTTTTAAAAGAAATAGAACTGTTCAATGAATTTTGATTAATGTGTTTTGTAGATAAATGCATTTTTAGTATTGGTGATTTAAATTAGAAACTGAATTTGTGAGTGGCTGTACCTTCGAAGGGCGTTGACGCAGCATAAAATTATTGTTCTCCTGAGAGGGTACGTAAGTCCCAAAACATCTGAAGTAAAATTAAGTCTACCAGATTTTTAATCGCAGTATTTTTGTCATTTTAATGCATGGCTAAATCTCAGCATAAACGCCAATGGCTGAAGAGATGGTGTAAATCCAGCTAGGGTCCATGCAGGTAGCAATAGTAATGTAAGTCCCCAAGGACCTTAGTATGGTGATCTACCTTCAGTTGTTGGCAATAAATAGCCCAGTTGTACAATGTATTGTCCAAAATAGTTGTCTACAGTTTAAGATATACGCTAGCTAGTTTTAACCCATTTTGTAATAATCTACTCACTTTAATGTCCTTCGTTGACATGGTTATATAAATTATGTGTATTTATCATGAAAATAGACTTTGTTTTAGTCACGATATGGCTGAAATATTGCCGATGTGACTCTTAACTCACTCACTTTTTGCGCCTTGTGTGTCGATGCAGCTCAAACCAAATATTTTGTACACGTCTACATCGCCATAGTGGCGGTACTTTTGATAGGTCGAGGAAGATATACAAATGAAATAAAAATACAAATGTGTGGTATCAAATATTGATAGTTTGGTATTGTCTGTCTTATACCTGGTTATGGGTCTAAACAATTCTGTTAGATACAGTTCCGGACAAATACAAGTCCAAGAGTAACAAATGCCATAGTTGGCAACCACAGTGTCTTGTCATAGATCGTTGACAAATAGCTGTCTGTTTCCTTCTCTTCTTTGTCTCAAAAGGAATAGCAGCAGCTCAATCATCTTAAGGTAAGATGTCAAGAAGGCGAGTGAGTGAGTTTTATTTAAGCCACGTCGACAATAATTCATACATATTGTGACTTGATCATACATGTTATTGCATCCACATCTCATTTTAACAATCCCACACGCTTTCATGAGTGCATCTCACAATCTGTTTCAGGTCAGCCCATGAAAATTATTATAGACCCTGTATAACAGTAACAGCTTCTTGGTTGTTATCTTTTCAAGTGTTCCTCTTGGTCTGTATCCTCAAGCTGTACTTTACATTAGAGCTGGTTAGCTGGTTGTTGTTTAACGCCGCACACAGCACTACAATCATGTTTAAAATGTTATTGCCATTAAATATTTAGAGAATTCATGTTGATGTTATGATACAAACTTTCTTCACTAAAATATTTGCTATCATATACCTATATTTTCGAAGCTCTCTAAGCCCTAAGATAGTCGTAAGGTAATGTTAATGTATGGCACTTACGACAATCTTAGCGTTAAGAGAGCTTCGAAAATCTAGGCCCTGGGCTATAAGTACGTTTGCCGCGATTTGTAGTAATATATAATGTTTCCTCACTGTAATTGTTTGTTGCCACAGTCGTATCATGCTCAAGTGAGTGAGTGAGCTATTATTTAACGTCACATCGGCAATATTTCAGCCATATCGTGACGAGAACATATGTGACATTGAAATGGAACAGATGTATATTATTTAAACCTGTCGACGAAGGACAGAAAAACAACTAGAATATCACAATTACAACTAAAACTAGTGTGGAAAATTAGAACTAATAGCACTATTTGGACAATACAATATAAAAACTGGCTATAGATCGCCAACAACTGAAGGTAGATCACCAAACTAGGGACCATGGGTGAATTACAGTACTTTTGCTACCTGCATGGACCCTAGTTGGATTTATATCACCCCTTCAGCCGCTGGCGATTGAAGTCAAATTTAGCCAATATTAAAATGACAAGAATACTACATTTAAAACAGCTGGTAAATTTAAATTTCCTTTGACTGTTTCCGGACTTACGTACCCTCCCATGCTCAAGAGTTACCAACTTGGGCACAGAGTGTCAAAAGGAGTGGTGTAGCTGCTGTATGTCTGTATACTAGTAACCAGTGATGATGACAACTGCATTGTAGCATGTGTGCAGCATCATTGTCAGACCCGACCTGAGTGAGTTTAGTTTTACGCCGCTTTTAGCAATATTCCAGCCATATCATGGCGGGGGACACCAGAAATGGGCTTCACACATTGTACCCATGTGGGGAATCGAACCCGGGTCTTCGGCGTGATGAGCCAAAGCTTTAACCACTGGGCTACCCCACCGCCCCAGGCCCGACGTGAAGGAAGGGATACCTCCTGATTGACTATTGGCCGACTACAGGTAATATATACACATAGAGAATACTAAACGATGTCCCGTGTGTACGTAATGTCATATTATTTATGAACCCGTGAAGATTTGGGTTAGAACTGATCTTCAGTAACCCATGCTTTTCGTTAAAGGCGACAAACGGGATCGGGTGGTGAGGCTCGCTGATTCGCTTGACACATGCCATCGTAACCCAATTGCGTAGATCGATGATCATGGTATTGATCACTGGATTGTCTGGTCCAGACTCGGTTATTTACAGACCGCCGCCATATAGCTAAAATATTGCTGAGTATGGCGTAAAACTAAACTCACTCACTCACTCACCTTATTTATGAAACGAGTGAATGGTTTGGTATCTAACGAGCGGAAGCGAATACCATTCATGACTTTCATAAATGTGGTATTACACGGGACATCGTTTAGTATTTTAGTTATTACTCACCCAACATTAGCAAAATTATATCTCAAAATTCAACTTACAGCACCAGTGCATTACGCCGTATATGAATACATTTCATGTATGATTGTCAACATTACTCTATTTATTTACAAATAAACGAGAGAGAGAGAGAGAGAGAGAGAGAGAGAGAGAGAGAGAGAGAGAGAGAGAGAGAGAGAGAGAGAGAGAGAGAGAGAGAGAGAGAGAGAGAGAGAGAGAGAGAGAGAGGAGAGAGGGAGGGAGGGAGGGAGGAGTCTTCTGATTTATTAAACAGTGATAGCTTCAACGGCTTGGTAATAAATGAAAATATACAATACAACTATGAAATACCTGTCAGCGTTCCCGTGATGGTCTTCGTACTTTTCGGGGTGTAGAGGAACTTGGGTGCGGTTGCTGGGTGATCCCACTGACATGCATGAATGGACTCATTACTATCGATTACCATCATCCACATTATATCGTTAGGACAGCCATTGTAACGGTTGCTGATTAAGAAGCGACGAGTGTCTGGATGTCTGTAAAGAATATATTGTTTCGAGGATATATTACTTGCGAGTGATGATGAACAGTGATTAACGAGTCATTTCTACAATTACCTAGGGGATTACCTGTCGGAAAGTAGCAATGATTGTTTCACTAAGGTATCCAACTGTCTATAGTTCCCCCAAATCCTTACAAAACCATGAATAGTGCACGTAACAACTTTATAGATCGGTCTGTGACCATACTTAGCAGGGGCAGTAGGGTAGTCTAGTAGTTAAAGCGTTCGCTCGCCACGCCGAAGACCTGTGTTCGATTACCCATATGGGTACAATCTGTGAAGCCCATTTCTAGCGTAACCCGGCATGATATTGCTGGAATATTGATAAACATACTCTTTAACTCACACTTAGTACGTCTTGTGGATTGATCCGTGGTCATGTAAAAATAACAGAGCGACATATTTTTCATATTCATAACATATCTACACGAAAAGCAGCAGATCTACCTGTGCAAATCTGACGATATCATGAGCATGTCTCTTGGATTCACTGTAAAACGCGGAGTTCTCCCTGTCCCAACAGTGGCACTGATGCGTCGAAATGTGGGCGATAATCCTCCATACATCTACGTTAAAACCTTTGAAGGTTTTCCTTATATATTTGATGTTTTTAATCAGATCATGGAAACATAGGACGCTACTTTCCCAAATTACCCTTGTTTTGACTTTGCCAACCGGAGCAGATTTTCTAAACTATGTATATAAAGAAACAAATCCGCAAGAAGGGAGCACAAGTCTTGCTTATTGGAATGCTTTGTTCTTTCCAGACTTCTCGTACTCCTTAGTTTTACATAGATTTTATCACTAAAATAGTCGACTATTTCACATATGTTGCCTCCGAAAACTGTCCTCAGCCTCTGAAGATATGAATCTGTATCTACATGTATGGTTAATCCGTTTGTAATAAATGTCCAAGGATTTGAAGTTTGCCATGTGGTGTACACCGCTCATGTTCAAACAAAACGTATAGTTTTTCCTGAGTTTGCAAGAAGTCATGTAGATTCTTTGAGTCTTTAAGAATCCGCATTGTATACACTCCAGTTGTTCAACAACAGATGCAAAACCACATGTCTTTTTAGGATATAACTGTAAGCTTAAATAGGAAATAGACACACTGTGGAGCAAAGTCTGAAGTATATACACAAAGGAAAGTGTTACCCCATATAACCATTTATATTCATAGCACAACTATGTTTCGTTGTATTCATTGATATTAGCAAAGCACTTCCTACGATGAAAGGCAACCTGTAAGCAAATATCAAGTTAGTTTGAATAAACTGTATATTTGCTGATCGATAAAATCAATTGATTTTATTGTTGAAGCAAATATGGGACCTCCTCAATTGACAAAATATCATGGATTATTGGTATGCTGATAACTGGCATGTCATTGAGTGCTATTGCAAGAGGTGTTGGTTGTCATCCATCGACTATCAGCCGAGTGGCCATGACAGTCAGTGTTCAGGTCGATCACAAGTCACAGATCTTAGAATGCACAGTCGTTTGTCCAACAAAACGGTTCTAAATCGCCTCATATCGGCCGTCAGCTATAATACGTATTTAGTTATCATGAGAGCAGAAATCAGAACGTCTACTTTGGTGTCAAGCTCGACGTCACTTGAAATTGACGACATGGAGAAGGGTCCACTGGTCGGACGAAAGTATACTTAGTTCATGACTGATGGCCGTGTTTGGCCACAGAAGCACTGCATATTCACAACGGAATACGTTTGAGAAAGTACACATTTCTATGTCCATCCTCTATGCTAAACGGGGCGGTGGGGTAGCCTGATGGTTAAAGCGTTCGCTCGTCACGCCGAAGACCCGGGTTCGATTCCCCACGTGGGTACAATGTGTGAAGCTCATTTCTGGTGTCCCCCGCCATGATATTGCTGGAATATTGCTAAAAGCGGCGTAAAACCAAACTCACTCACTCACGCTATGCTAAACAATATAGCGCACGTGTCTTTGGTGAGTTCTTACACCAACAAATGGTATCAACTCCACCTTGGTCCGCCAGGAGTCCAGATCTCATAAAGCATATTTGGGATATTATCGGTAGCAAAATACGCCAGAAAGACCATTCAGAACAAAGTATTGATACACGGGAATAAATGAGTGCGTCAGTTAATAGATTACGTCGCACAGACAATATTTCAATGATAAAGGGACGAGAAGAGTTATGTTAAATATGTGAAGTATTTGTCACAAAGGACAGTAAAATCTTAGCATATGCCGTGTGCGGCGTAAACTTAAACTCACTCACTCACTCACTCATGTTGTGCCTTGTATCTAACGAGTGAGTCAGTATGGTTTTACGCCGCTTGTAGCAATATTCGAGGAATAACACGTCGGGGACACCAGAAATGGGCTTCACACATTGTAGTCATGTGTGGAATCGAACCCGAGTCTTCGGCGTGACGAGCGAACGCTTTAACAACGAGGCTACCCCACCGCCCCCATCAAGAATGGAAGGCAATATCAAACCGTTAAATTCAACATGTGACACAGTCCGTGATGAAGGGGTCAGGGATGTTATTGCAGTTGGCGGAGACCACCTCCGTGGTGTAGTGGTTAGAACGTCCGCCCGGAGAGCGGAAGGTCGCGGGTTCGATCCCATACCAAACAATATGGTACTTGTTGGTCCCTGCCTGGCGCTCGGCATTAATGGGTACAACAAGGACTGGTCGGCTGGGAGACAGTGTAATGTGTCTGAGTGGGGTATTCATGCTTCACTGCGGCATGGTATCTCAGTGAGCTAGCACTATAAAACCAGCTTAAGTCTGGACTAGTACAAGCAGCCACACATACACACGCATGCACGTCGTCATATGAGCGAAATATTCTTAAGTGCGACGTTAAACCCCATTTCACCTCACCGCAGTTGGCGGAGGTTACACCAGACGTTAACAATTTGCCCGGTTATTGATGCGTGATTTCTTGAGACCAGGGCCTCCTTTCACAAAGCACTAAGGTGATCGTAAGTCACTAAGATAACCTTAGTGCAATGTTACAGAATGGGAGTTAAGGTTAACCTTAGTAAAGGTTGCTTCGTGGAAGGGGCCCCAGCTCTACAAAATGAGAAATTTCTATGCCATGTTTCCTTCTCTGAACAATAGATTTACATTCGCCATTTAATTATTCTTTGAAGATAATTTTATTCAGATAGTAATGTCAATGGAGTTTTGGATCAGTTCATTTGCTATGGCTAAGACGACATATTGATACTACGAAATGTATGAAGAGTTGCGATATCTTTGTAAATGTGTATACTTTTAAAAGCATGGTCAAGGTAATTACCTTTCATTGATAACATTCAAGAGGATCTCAAATGGTCTTTAATGAATAGACTGAACACTTACCCTTCGATGCTGAAATAATTGAAAGTTGACGTCGTGAGATCCGTCCATGTTGAATTAATCACCCTCGTCTCCGTAAACCAGGACGTCTTGGTAGTACCAGTCCCATCAAAAATAATTTCGCTCCGAACGCGACTGTTCTTCATTAGTAGAACTTTCACCTGACAAACGTTAACGTTATTGTTTCTGATAACGTTGTAGGATACAATTTTATATGCACGAATTCACGCACGAACACAAGCTAATGGATTTAATGATTAGTCTGTGACTGATTATATCATTGGCATGGGTTTTACTCAGAATAAAGCTTGTCTTGATTGATATAGAATCTTCAATTTTAAAAGTGCCTTGACAAAACCGATCTTTTGCCATGGCGTCGAGGAAGCTGTATATGTATATATGGTCTCGCCCATCTTCACACAAGACAAACATGCATTTATGATCGTTATCATCATGTTGGATGACTATGTTCGCCTCTACTCTTTCCTTTCGGCAATAGTTGTTGACTTACCAGCTGTATACCAGCCGTTTCCCATGCAGACATAATCTTGCTTCTGAAATGATCGTCACATGGCCGAGACGTGTTTGGTGAGAAACAGCCAGGTTTCAGTCGAGGTGGTAGAAGTGGGTGGTCGTGGTAGAGGCTGTCGTTCAACCATGCTGAGTAGATGGACGTCCCTGTATCTTTCTGGCCCCGAAACACCACTTTCCAGCCGTCCCAGGTCAACACATCTGCGAAGTCGTAAGCAAAATACGTCTTTACCCCTGTGTTGATTCCAGGGATGACATGTGTGTTTCAAGAGGAACATACTATTGAGGATTGGGTAGCTTCATTACGTATCTTTGCTCAAGCTTCAAGTCTGATCGAAAAGAAAATCACCTAAACATAGGTATGTCAAGAATGTATAGATAAAAAAAACGCCCTATGATTACATTTGATTCAAACGCGAAACCAGGCAACATATATCTGAAGGCAGCAAAGTGACAATGCAGTCTTTGCGGATGAAAGTAGACAAAATTGGCCACAAGGCTGTTACCAAGTAGCTCCAATGCAAAGACTAACATTTACAGCCATTCAAGCAGATGAAGGGTCTAATGGACAATGCCCCTTCATATGTCACTGTTTACAGGAAGGTAGCAGAGTTAAAGACGGGAAGAGGGTACCAGGATTTCTCCATTCTATCTCCAGGAACTAGTCAACCTTCACAAGCCTGAAAGGTCACTCAGATCAGCTAGTCAGCAAAGCTTAGATCAGTGTATGAAATAAGCCAAAAATCAAGCCAGACATCAGGACTGGTAACTTCAAAATGTTACCAGCCCAAAATGGATTTAACCAGACCAAATATGGTGAATTTACTCAGATGTATGGAACATCTAAAAATTCGATTTTAAAAGCTATGTATACTAATGTCAAATCGTGTGTACGTTGTGGTCAAGATAAGATTCGACTGCCCCGTTGGCGTTAGACAAGGATATGTTGTGAGTCCAATTTTATTTTCCCTGTTTATCAACCAATTGTATTACGATATTATCGCAAATGGTAAGCATCACACCAAAATATTTCCAGTTTTTTTAGAACTTTTTGTTCTTTTATTTGCTGATGACGTAATTCTTTTATCAGAATCTGCAGTTGGACTTCAAACTCAGTTGAATATTTTGCAACGTTATAGTGAGTGAGTGAGTTGAGTTTTACGCCGCACTCAGCACTATTCCGGCTATATGGCGGCGTGGAACGTTATACTAAAAAAATGGGATTTATCAGTTAATCTAGATAAGAATCATATTGTTATATTTAGAAAAGCTGGCCGGGTATCTTCTAAAGAAAGATGGTCCTTTGATAACCAACCTGTAATAATAAAACAAAATGTCACTGACCATTCTACTTATCTTGGTTTCAAGTTTACATCCACTATGAATTGGAAGACATCTGTTACTGAATTATCATTGAAAGCCAAAAAGCACTGATAAGTCTTTTATCTGCTTTGTATAAAATTGGTATTTACTTTAAACTATTTGATTGTCAGATGAAACATATTCTCTTGTATGGATCCGAGGTCTGGAGATTCCTTCGATATGAATGCATAGAAAATCTACGTGTGATGGCCTGTAAGAAATGTTTAAATGTTGGACCATCTACACCGAATTGTGTGCGGTGAATGTGGCAGGCATCCCCTGTATATAAATGATCATACTCGATGTATATAATTCTGGTTTCATATATTGTGTATGCAAGAAAATAGATTACCCAAACAGTCTTATAACATGCTTGTTCATTTGGACGACATTGGTAAAGTGACGTTGGCATTTCATGTAAGAAAACTTCTGTTTTCACACAGTTATGGTTTTGTATGGTTAAGTCAGTCAGTTGGTGCAAGGATGCTTTGAACTCAGTTTCGTGAAAGAAGTCTTAATGAGTTTTATTAAGAATGGCATTCCGTAATAGATAATAGTTCACGATATGACTCTTATAGAATATGCACATCATTTCTCCTTCCAGAAAAATATCTATCGGTTCTAACATCAAAGAAATTAAGATATCCATTTATACGTTTTGGGTTAGGCTTGATCAACATAATGGCAAGCGAAGGAAGACGTTTTTTTATTGAAAGAATGTGAGAATTGAGATGTGGAAAATAAAATTATTTTTTACTTGTATGCCCTTTTTCAGACTAACACAAGTCCTTTTTATGACGATTTGCGTAATATACAACTAAATATTACCTATGTAAGGCACCTTTATTGGCTTTTAAACTACATCTTACATCAAGTGAACAGCATGTAATAATAAGCTGTCGTACTATATTAATTATGCACTTATTAAACGTAACAATTTGATATGAAGTTTTGGAGATCCATTTGTAACGTAATTTTTATATATAAGTATGCATAACTTCAACGTATATGGACCGGGGGCCCTTTGTACAATAAACATCTTTTGACTTGTTTCTCCAAGCTAACATACACCTATTCCTCCTCGCTGAATCGGTCTTCGAAACTCGGAAGAAATGAAGTTTGTGGTTTCGTGTGATGAATTAGTACACTCCCAGGAACGCAGAATTCCGTTAGCGTCTTGTATATTAAGAAGGATCTCTTTATTGTCATATTGCGTCTTGTTCATAACGAAAGATCACTTCAGTGTCACATTGCGCCTTGTTCATAACGAAAGGACCATGAAGATCAGGGTTAGAATTGATCTTCAGCAACCCATGCTTGTGGTAAGACGCGACTAATAGGATCGGGTGATCAGGCTCGCTGACTTGGTTGATCCATGTCATAGTAACCCATTTGCGTAGATCGATGCTTATACTGTTGATCACTGGAATGCCAGGTTCAGACTCGATTATTTACAGACCGCCGCCATATAGCTGGACTATTGCTGAGTGCGGCGTTAAACTAAACTCAATCACTCACTCACTCATATAACGAAAGATCAGTTGATTGTCATGAAGATTAACGTACTGTAAAGAACTAAACAATACGCACATTCACTCTAACACGAAAGCACAGTTACCGCTCGAGAGAACCTGGAATGACGGTATGTATCTGCCCTGGTTTTGGATTAGGGTAGTGGTTTGGTGTATAACAGTAAATACCAGTAAAATTAGAGATAATTAAATGTATTGAGTGTGCAGATGTTTACTCTGTACTTTCTATACCTCCTTTAAGTATTGAACAGTATTTAAACAGTGTTTGAGGTCTTTGAATCAATGCACTGATGTGAGGTCACATTGCGAATAATCGCTTCTCGATGAAATATTGATGAAAATCGATGACGTATCGGAGACAATTAAGTCGTTAGCTAAAGTTGCTTGCTTCCAACACAGTAGCTTTGCCACATAGTAACATACACTGTTTACAGGAAGGTAGCAGAGTTAAAGACGGGAAGAGGGTACCAGAATTGCTCCATTCTATCTCCAGGAACTAGTCAACCTTCACAAGCCTGAAAGGTCACTCAGATCAGCTAGTCAGCAAAGCTTAGATCAGTGTATGAAATAAGCCAAAAATCAAGCCAGGCATCAGGGCTGGTAATTCAAAATGTTACCAGCCCAAAATGGATTTAACCAGACCAAATATGGTGAATTTACTCAGATGTATGGAACATCTAAAAATTTTACCAGACCATTCCGGGCTGGCTAGCTGTAAATTTAGACCGTCCGTCAGAACTCTAGACCGTCTCTGGCGGTCGGATGGGCCTTATTTCATACACTGTTACTAACATGCAGTCAAGAATTGTCAAGTCCCTTCCGCTAACTTCCTTCCGATGTTTGTCAACGATCAATTGCAAACATACCACACAATTCTACCAATAATTATGGTGAAATATAGGGTATCATAATGTCATACATTTTGTATTTGTGTCTGTAACCATCCTGTACAATGATTGTATGATTTCACTGAATCTCCATGGATAGCTAGCTATGGCGTCCTGTTGATGTGTAAGATTCATTCCTCACTGTCAAGGACTAATAATGTTCAATGACAAGTCAATTATTTAGACTGATATCGCTACCCGTATCAGTAACTGCACAGAATGGTTTGAATGTGTTATGGAAAACCTTGCGGAATGAGCTTGTTAACGTCATCCTGGCATATTCCTTCCAAGGTAATAACTTTTATTTATTCAACAGGTTTACAGAAACCAATTCATCCATAAGCGAGGTGGATGAGGCCATCTTCTTTGATGGTATAGAAACCAATGGGTTAGATAACGAAGAGCTGTGACATCTTCCCACTATGACGCAACACTAAAATTGAAACAAGAGAACTAGGCCAATATGCAGGATACAAATGAGAGATACACGTGACCACGATGTCAAGGATTTTCGGTTGTATCGGCACTTTAACCCTGGCAGGCTTAGGATTGGTTGACATTCCGTATCCGAGCTTCCATTAGAAGCTTGATGACACACCTCCGAATGCTTAGGATTGGTTGACCTTTAGTACCTGCGCTTCAATCAGAAGCTTGATGACACACCTCCGACAGGCTTTGGATTGGTTGACCTTCAGTACCTGCGCTTCAATCAGAAGCTTGATGACACAATCTCTGCAGGTTTGGGTAAATGCCTGTTTGATTGCGCAAATGTAATAGTAACATAAGCTTTAATGGTTCATTCCTGAGTTAGGTGCGGCGCGGTAGCCTAGTGGTCAAAGCATTCGTTTGTCACGCCGAAGACCCGGGTTCGATTCCCTACATGGGAACGATGGGTGAAGAACATTTTTTCTTGCAAAAAGCAGCGTAAAACAAAACTCACAAGTCACAAGTTTTGGCAGCTACAACCATCCTTTGTCATGTCTTTCTACTCACAGTTTCTTTTGCCTTTAAGTGTACGTTGCGATATTGCAATACATAAATAACATTGGTGATACTGCGATAGTTGAAGAAACCTACTGTTCGACAATAATAAAATATACTGAGAGAAACAAATAAAGGATCACAGAAAAATTCAAGCGTTCCTTTAATATTTTCCAGTTTTCTTCACCAGCTTTGAATAGCCCTGTGGTGATGAAAACTGGAAAATAATAAAGGAACGCTTGAATTTTTCTGTGACCCTTTATTTGTTTCTCTCAGTATATATAAGTGAAATATCAATGAGTTTTGCTCAGGTTTTAACTTTTCTGATTTTCGTCCTCTGAAATTTGATAACCATTTGGTTCCATCCTAGTTGTCGCCCACGTCGGGATCATATTAGATCTCAAAGCGACATGTATTACATTATTTTTATATTACCTCTTAATTCGCAGTCTTATCCGGAGATCGTTAGTGAAAAGGTTAGTGAAAATTTTAGTGAAATATAAGACTTTTAATGATCGGGTCGGTACAATAATTTTAAAGAAAATGAGAAGTTCTACTGACTTAGCCTTCAATTTTCATGTGTGCTACGCCAAGTCAATAAAAATGAAATCCGATCTAATTGCAACAGCCTCATCCCCATCATCGTGCCTCCAGACAAAGAGATGGGTTATTCCAGCCCTATCGTGTAGGAAGCTGAAGTAGTTTTCCCCCAACGATCCTTGGTATGGTGGCCTAACTGTGGTTGCCAGTGATCTCTTGCTTCTTTTATATCAATATTTTATATGCTGTCAAACTAGATGTGCTTCCGTATTATATTCATTCATTTGTCGCCGAAAAGCTGTGTTAAAAATGCCACGATTGAGTGCTGCCGACCGAAATATCGCCATTGGTCGTGTTCAAGCCGGAGAAAGTTTTGGAACTGTTGCACGGCACCTAAATGTTCACAAAACAACGATATCCCGACTTTGGAGCCCCTACAACAACTTCAATTTGACCAACGATCGCCCGAGAAGTGGAAGGCCAAGAATCACGACCCCCCGTCAAGATCGGTACATCCGGGTCCATCACCTGCGTAATCGGCATGCCCTACCAACCGTGACTGCCACACAAATACCAGGTTTGAGGAGAGTGTCAGCTCAAACGATTAGGAACCGTCTGAAAGAAGCGGGTTTACGTGCCTGTAGACCAGTTGTTGGACCTGTACTACGCCCCTACATCGACGCCGACGACTCAGGTGGTGCAACAACGTAAGGATACGGACTTTACAAAACTGGAGGCGAATCTGGTTTTCTGATGAGTTGTGAATAAAATTTGTAATAATGGAGTCGTTGTACTGCCGTTCGACGACTTGATTTTATGTGTGAGTGGGCTAGTTTAGTTTTACGCCGCACTCAGCAATATTCTAACAATATGTCCGCGGTCTGTAAATATTCGAGTCTGGATCAGACAATCCAGTGATCAACAGCATGAGCATCGATATAGGCACTTGGGATACGATGACAGAGCATGTGTTTATGAATCACTATGAAATAGTGATGATACCAGGTGTTCGGGAAAAGCTGAGCGTATCCTTCCCCACACATATGCAAAGGGTAACTTCCCTCTGTGGCACTTGTCTCTGTCACACATCACTGATTTCATAGGCCACAGAAGGAAATTGAGTAGAGGCCACGTGCCACAGAGGTACAGGTCACCAGTTTCAATTAACGAGGTGTGAATGGCTCAAGTTTATTAGTGCTTAATTACTGGGTGTTAACGGGGTATGATTAATTAATTGTTAAATCGCTACTGATAGTATTGCGGTAAACTCTTATGCTCGCCTGCCGATCGCTACTGAGGTTTTCAAGCTACAAGGAGATTGGCGCACGTCAAAGACTATGTGATGATGTTTGTGGCGACAGTCGCATCATTATGCTTGAAACTGTAGAAAACCTCAAGAAATTATGTAGCAGTTCACAGAGGCCCAGATAAGCTGCCTATCCGGGTAAAATACGCATAGAAAATTTCCAAATACGTATTGAAAAAATAATTGTTGCGTACCATTTACGCATTTAAAATGTCAGATACGCAAAAAGTTTAAAACAAATGCGTACAGAGTATATTTATAAAAATCGCTTGCGTAATGAAAAAGACATCGATTGCTATCAAGTTGTACTGTTAGTATAGGACAAGTATTGTATTTTTGTCAGTATAGGATGAGTGATTTTTTATGAAATCATTTCTATTATATTTAAGTTGGTTTTGATTAGGTATGACATGAGGCAGAACATACCTGCTTAGTAAACTTACTCAATGACGTAATACTTAGGTTAGTGAAATGACTGAAATACGCACATATTTGAAAGCATTGGGTAACGGAAAATTAAATACCCACTCAACATTCATAATACCCGGGCCACTCCCAAAAGATGCAGTGGGTACAGTACCCACATGACCTAATTCTTATCTGGAGCTCTGAGTTCAATTGTACTGATGGATGGAACATTCAAAATTTGCCCAAGACTTTTTACCAGTGGCATATACTCCACGCACACATGCCTCATAGAGCTATACCTGAAATAGTCTGTTTGCTGCCTGAGAAGACAGGCTCCACCTACCACAGACGTATCCAGCTTCTTCAAGCGAAATGTGAGACCCTATGGACATTCTCACCTGGAGTTGGGATTTCTTATGTATTTCCGTTACAACCTCTCACATGATGCTATCAATCTGCCAATTAAGGTCAATCAGATACCGTGTTAATGACCTAGCACCTTATCAGTCATGGTTTACTGCACAAAAGTGCCACTCAGGGACACACAAAACGACCATAGGCCACAGCAGGAAATTTCATCTAGATCAATTAAAATCTGATAGGCCACAGAGGGAAGTGCCACAGAGGTACTAAAGCATGCAAAGTCTAGTCAATTGCTCACCGGACATAATTCGGTAACGTATGGTACAACTCAAAATAGGGAACCACATTGGACATGTTTTTTGTCACTGATGCATCAAATTTTGAAATGTCGTCCACCTGTCTATCATAAACCTTGGTGCATTGAAAACATTACTGAGGCTTTGAATGTTAGAAATAATTGTTACGCCGGTCATCTCCGAAACTCGAAGTGGTGACGTCTCGCTACAATCAGGAGAAACCTGTCTTCCCGCTGTGTGGTGGAACGCCATCGACCACCTGCATGTCCGGGTAACTGATTCAGACGTCTGTGCCCTTCTGTTCACCCTTCGGTTGACACCAAAGACGTTTACAACATGACTTTATGTTAACCAAGGTTTAAACATTCCGATATATGTTTTGTCGCCAAACAACGTCGTTGGTGCTGAAGGGGCACAAGTGCTTTCAGTTGTTCTAGTCAGTTATTTGCAACGATTCAGGATACACCCAAACACGTTTTCAGATTGATTGTACACATCATTTCAATCACGGCAATCTGCTGTCTATCCGTCATTTTAATATTTGTTGGATGAAATTTAGAAAACAATATAAACTTGATTCCAAGCAAACTTTGAGAAACATCAAGACAGGGTACATCAATAAAATATGTGTTTGTCCATTGACGAAACATTATGCTACTCTGTCAATTCTCGAACCACCTTTGGGGAAAATGATATTTAAAATAGCATACATAGCTGGTTTTATTTGAAATGTTTCTCAGTGTTTATTTGTTCATATGGTATACTGACGAAAATGTAAAAAGCCGTACCTGATCTGGGCTCCATATAAATCCAATCGCCGCTTTCCACATATGTTGAATCACCATCGTATAACTTCAGGCTGTGGAGTTCACAAATACCCTCAGTTTGACTGAACGAAGTACTTGAGCAGTACAAAGCCAGACAGTGCTTGAGACACCATGTTGCAGACCGTTTAGTTGGTTTGTAGTTCACGGTCAACATAGGTGTGTTTGTCAAACGATATCCACGTACAACTGAATACAACTCTTGTCGAATTTCTGCTGACGCCATAACCAACAGGCATAACAACTGCTGGAGAAAAGATTGAGATACCATGTTAACAATTGCTGCACAATGTCACGTCGGATACTTTTGGTAACTGTAGGATTTCAGTCAGACAGGCAAACAGCAAGTGGGGTTCCTGAAAAAGCAAAAGCATTATTTCCCCGTTAGCTCAAGTCTCCGTCGAAGGAATGAATACATGGTGTTGGTTACAGGGAGGGGATGTAGGCGTATTGATCCGTGAAATGCACACATCTAGCTTTCATTTTACTGAGGCTTCCAGATTTTCAACATTGTACACATTTGTCATTTAATACACAGAACACCACTCATTGTAGAATCAATTGATTGATAGAATATGTGGGTCTAATCCCGTTGTCCAAACTATTGACTACGGAGTGCCAAACAATATCAGTGACTTCCTGAATTTTACATGACGTTACCAATCGCAGTTCCATAACATTTTTCTTCGACCACAATTATGTGGATCTCAGTTTCAGTCATATGTACAGGAGCATAGGCGGATCCAGAGGGGTGGTTCGGGTGTGTGGGGGTGTGTGGTGCAGGGGTGCGCACCCCACCCCCCTTTGTCCAGAAAGTTTGTTATATGACCATTGAAACTCGGGTGGAAATGAAGTGTCCCCCCCCTTCTCAATAGTGTCCCCCCCGCCTTTTCTCAAAAAGCTGTATCCGCCCCTGAGGAGTTTCATATTCATCTCAGAGTGATTATGATATTTCGTTCAAAACAGTATTTATAACAGTGACAAATGATGGTGATATAAACTAACGTCCAAAACAAAATTGGCAACTAAAAATTGAACTGTTGAAAGACAGATACTTTCACCTAAACGTAACCAAGCCAAATACCAACCCCAAATCCTGCAGAATACGAATCCGCGTAATGACTGCTATGTTTCTGCTTGCATGTGTCACGTGGCTCATGACGCTTGGAGGCATGGGGACCATCATTATCTGAGCATGTGTCACATTGCCCTATGACTCAAGGAGATATATATGGAATCTGTCACTTGACACTAAGCACCCGTGAAGAGCCACCTCCTCGTGGTGGGTGCTGGGTGACGCTAAGCACTCTTCAACCCCCCGTTGTGGACCCGGGAGTATATTTGGTCCATCAACCCGTTTGCCGTGGGTTGCGCCCCTGTGTCGGTGGAGGAAGGGAGTCTGGTGTATGAGGGCACTGGTTCCAGGAACAGTGCCTTTGCCCAACACACCACTTCGCCCCTGACTTCACCTAGACGGGTGGTAGAACTGGCCCGGTTCTATCAATCGGCTGGTCACGCCAAGCCCTGTGCTACATCTATGTACTATTGCACAAAAGTTTTGAGAATTATGCCATGGTATTTTTAAATCTTGGCGAAGTTTTGAACACAAAATTTCAAATATACAATTTCATGTATGCTTTTGCCGAGAGTCATATGCCCAGAAGGCGGTGGCTCATGGGCCAATCTGGTGGAATCATTAATCTTTCAATTTTTCTGCTGGAGTATATCATCCGGGTATTCTTGGTGCTGCAAGTCGGAGATCCGCTTGTTTAGCATTGTCCTTGTGATACTCCGTGGTGGGTGGGGAGCTCGGATGACGAACCTTGAAAAATTAACCATGACTTACGAAAAAACCCTAAAAAAACAAACGTCCACTAGGCACTGATCCAGTTGATAATGATCAAACACTGTCCACGTCCATTGAATACTGGCCACGATTTCTTGTTATTGAAACTGTTGACAAGTTGAACCCTTTTGCCATATCTAAGGGTATACAGGGCATTGCTGGTGATGTCAAGAATATTAAACGTTTACGTTCCGGTGCTCTGTTGGTTGAGTGTTGGAAAAGGCAACAAACCACCAACCTTATGAGTACAGAATCGTTTGTCAGCGTTCCGTTCACCGTCACGGCTCATAAAACATGAAACACGAGCAAAGGAATCATCAGAGACCGTGATCGATTGTTTGCAGATATGTCGGAACTTGACATCGTCTCTGAGATGAAAGATCAAGGCGTACTCTATGTCAAACGTTTCACAACCCGGAAAAACGATACTGTTATAAAAACAAATACCTACCTGTTTTCATTTTCTTCACCAAATGCTCCAAAATCTCTAAAGGCAGGATATTGTAACATCAATGTTGACACGTACATTCCAAACCCTCTAAGGTGCTTCAAATGTCAAAAGTTCGGTCATGGCGTAAATACTTGCACATTGTCTGTTGTATGTGCTCACTGTAGTGAAAAGACACATACAACAGAAGATTGTGACAGGAATGTCAAAAAATGTACCAACTGTGAAGGGGATCATCCATCTTACTCTAAAAACTGTCCTGTTTGGAAACATCAAATGGAGATAAATAGAATCAAATTTACCCAAAACATTAGTTTTGCCGATGCCAAAAAACTAGTTCAAAGCTCAGAGCATAAGGAAAGCTATGCTTCTATCACCAGAACACCGTCAGAAGCAACCACTAGAATAACAAAGTCATCTGCGTGCTGTCAGACAAACCTGGCCTGGGTTTAATCCGAATCTCCTCTGATATTCTCACCTGCAATATCGACCCAAACAACAGAATCAGTTCCTAGTACGTCTCAAAGCCAATGTGAAACATCCTCTGATCTTGACGCATCATCTCAGTCCACATCAAAGTCTACACAGCCCCTTAAAGGCAAAGGTAAAAAGCCAGATTCTTTGAAAACACTCAGTGGCAGAGCCCCAAAAGGGTAAGAAAATCAAATAAATTTATACAACAAATATGGTTCCCTTGAGAACATGGATGTGTCCGAAACTGTCCGTTCTAGGGCGCACAGCTTGTCGCCCATCAAAAAAGTACGGGGAAGATCCCCTATAAATCCCCACAAAAGATATTTTATCACAATCATATTATACAGTGGAATTGTAGAGGACTGAGGACTAATTTAAGTGAATTACAACTTTTAGTCCAGGATTTAACACCATCAGCGTTCTGTCTGCAGGAGACCTATTTAAAACAGACAGATGCTTTTGTCCTGCGTTCTTTCAATGCATACCATTGTTTTTCACCTCTGGGTGACAGGGCCACTGGAGGATCTTCCATCCTAGTCAAACAGAACGTTATCCATAGCCCTGTTGCACTCACTACTAATCTTCAGGCTGTTGCAGTGCGACTAACTTTGTTCGTTGCGTTTACATTATGCTCTCTTTATATAAAAGCGTTTTCAACGCTTTACAAAACCGATCTTCAAGCTCTATATGACCAACTCCCGAAACCCTGTATTATTATGGGAGATTTAAATGGACACAACCCACTCTGGGGTAGTGCAAATACAAACGCTAAAGGTAAATTACTGGAGGAGTTTTGTTCAGATAATGATTTATGTATTTATAATGATGGTTCCAACACATATTTACACCCTGGTACAGGAACCTATTCTACTCTCGACTTGTCAGTCACAAACTCAGAACTACTAAATGAATTTGAATGGTCAGTCCACGATGACCTCTGTGGAAGTGACCATTTTCCTACTATACTAAAACCTGTAACTCCATCTGATGTACCTCCATCATCAAGGCGGAATTTTAAGAAGGCTAACTGGGCTTTATATGGAACACTGTGTGCTACAAAACTGAAACCTGACCTTTTTATTGACGTTCCTGATGCTATCAACTGTTTTTCTGATGAACTGAATACTATAGCTGATGAGCGTATACCACAGTCCTCTGCAAATCCACATATCCGAAAACCTTGGTTCAACGATGAGTGCAAAGAAGCTAGGAAGGCAAGGAAAAAAGCAGAACATTATTTCCGTCGCCATCCTATGGTGCACAATTTAAATAAATTTAAAATGTTAAATGCTAAAGCGCGGCGTACCTTTAAACAGAATAAACTTATGTGTCCAAAATAAATGCCGATAACATACATTATCAACTCCTGAAACACTTACCAGAATCATGTTTAGAGACACTCTTACACATATTTGATGATATTTGGACGTCAGGGAAATTTCCTTCCTTATGGCGTGACGCTATAGTAGTGCCAATACCTAAACCTGGAAGTAAACATACAGATCCGTCCAATTATCGACCGATTTCAGTAACCGGCTGTGTTTGCAAAACCATGGAACGCATGATAGTAATCGACTTGTTTGGTACTTGGAGTGAGTGAGTGAGTGAGTTTGGTTTTACGCCGCACTCAGCAATATCCAAGCTATATGGCGGCGGTCTGTAAATAATCGAGTCTGGACCAGACAATCCAGTGATCAACAGCATGAGCATCGATCTTCGCAATTGGGAACCGATGACATGTGTCAACCAAGTTAGCGAAACTGACCACCCGATCCCGTTAGTCGCCTCTTACGACAAGCATAGTCGCCTTTTATGGCAAGCACATGGGTTGCTGAAGACCTATTCTACCCCGTATCTTCACGGGTCCGTTTGGTACTTGGAAACAAATAACCTTATAACAGATATACAATGTGGTTTCCGTAAAAACAGAAGTACTGTCGATCACTTAGTGCGTTTTGAATCATTTGTTAAAAACGCTCTAATTAATTAACAACACGCTGTGTCTATCTTTTTTTATCTTGAAAAGGCATATGACACTACGTGGAAATATGGCATTTTAAGAGATTAACATGGCTTCGGATTGAGAGACCGTTTGCCTCAATTCATAGCCAACTGTTTCAATGACAGACAATTTCAAGTCCGCGTGGGTTCTACCCTGTCTGATCATTACAATCAGGATCAAGGTGTCCTACGAGGCAGTATTTTGTCAGTGACTTTATTTAGTATCAAGATTAACAGTTTATCAAAAGTTTTAATCGATTCAATTGATGGATCATTATTGTGGATGATTTTAATTTTTCTTGTCGTGGTAAAAATATGCATACTATTGAACGGCACCTGCAGTTGTGTTTAAACAAAATAAATAAATGGTGTCTTGAAAACGGCTTTAAATGTTCTAAATAAAAAACTAATTGTATACATTTCTGCCGTAAATACAAACCTCATAAAGACCCGGAACTATCTTTAAATGGCACTCCCATCAAAGCTGTCAAGGAGGCCAAGTTCTTGTGTCAAAGTTTTGACTCCCATCTAACGTTTCCACCGCATATTAAATCCCTTAAAACTAAATGCCTGAAGGCACTTGACTTGTTGAAAGTCGTTTCCAATTCTAAGTGGGGAG